AAGCTGGCCTTGAACACTGCCAGGGATGGGGCAGCCACAGCTTCTCTGGGCAACCTGTGCCAGGGCCTCAGCACCCTCACAGGGAAGAACTTCTTCCCAAGATCTCATTTCAATCTCCCCTCTATCAGTTTAAATGCATCAGCCTTTCAGTTCACTTCCGTAAGCAGCATTTGCATCGTGCAGAATACACACTTTATTTATCAGAGATGCACAAATATTCAAAGGTTACAAAAAATTCAAGATAGTCAAATTACTTGTGGTAACAGCTGGTGACAGCCACAGCACAACATCATCTCTAGCGAATGTCGACTGCTCACTGCCCCGCTGGTTACTGGTGGAAAACCATTGCACAGAGCAGTGCCAGGGAACAACCGACAGCCATCAGGCGTCTTTCCACCCCCTGCGGCTGCTGCTGCATTTAATTCCAGGGATCACTTTATTTCCACTCACAGCAACTGGAATCAGGAGCTTCCTGTACTCCAGAGGGAGGTGACGCTCAATCAGCACGTGCAGAGGCATCTCGTCTGTCACCAGCCTTTGTCTTGGTTCAGAAAGAGGAGAGCAGACAAAACAGTCATTAATGAAAAGTGCTTCTAATCAGTTTATAAACTTTCTTGCAGTGGCCATTTTGCATTTCACAGCTGAAATGCTGGGGCTGCCTGTGACAGATACAGGCTCCTACTTGAAGGGACTTCCCAAGGCAATGTTCCAGGTCCTGTGCACAGTACACAGCCCAGGCTCGTCTGCACACACAGGGACACAGCAGGTAACTGCAGCAGCTCCCACAGAGCTACATGTTCACCGTGGTGAGGGCCAGCACATGGACCTATACCTATGCCAGGGCCTCACCACCCTCATTGGGAAGAGCTTCTTCCTAAGATCTCATCTCTATCTCCCCTCTGTCAGGTTAAAGCCATTCCTCCTTGTCCTGTCCCTACAGACCCTTGTCAAAAGCCCCTAGACATCTACAAAAAGGTAAAATAATATGTGTTCAGAACCCTCAACCCTAGCCAACAAAACCAAATTTCTCAGCCTGTTCATACTAACATCAGCACCTGCCTGTCAGGTGGGAAAATGAAAATCTCCAGATCAGGACAGCAACAGGTGATTATTTCTAGGCAACAGCCCCAGCTCCATCACACAGGCCTGTCCAAAGCCAATGACCTCAACCAAGCATGCTCTGCACAATCCCTCAGATGCCTTTACCATCCCATCTGAAACCCTCCCAGTGGAGCCAAGGAATAACAACCTGAAGTGATGACTTGAAATGAGTGATGACTGTTTAGGCCACACTGAATTGAAGAGGGCTCCCAAGCCAAGAGCACATCCCTGTGCATGAGATGGGGCAGCTGAGGGAGCCCCCAGAGAAGAGCAGCAGTGAAAAGGCTCTGAGAACCATCCTTCCTGCTGGCCAGGGAGCACCACCCAGGGAGCACCACTGCCAGGGGAGGCGAGTCGTAGCCTGCCTGGCCAGAGGCTCCTTCTCCTGTTCTACAGAGGACCTGCCAGGCTGAACCCCAAGTACCAGCAGTTGCAGCAGCAGGGAGAGTGGGGTGTTGTTTGGAAGAATCAAACCAGAGATCAGGACATGTGGAAACGCTCACATTGTTTCCATTGCCAAGTGCTTATAGCAGAGGTTGCTCAGGGATGCAAATGACACAGCCCAACCTCACGCTTGCTGTTACTCTGCTTTTATGACTGACGCTACCTATTTTGCAGCTATGACTGCTTTACCCTTGCATACATCCCCCTCCTCTTGCTACTAGTTTCTCAGATGACTTCTTGTGTTCCCAACCCCTCACTACTTCCTCTTTCCCCTCCACCACTGTCATCGTGGAATATAAAAACCCAAGTCCACCAGTTCCCACCTGGGACAGAAGGCCAAGTGGCATTGTGCAGAGTAAATCACACGATACCACACTTACTGCTGAAATACTTAACTGCTAGTGCACACCCTGGCAATAACTGGTTTCCTGGGCTATAAAAGCACTACCAAAGTCTAATACAGATTAACAACAACCCTCCCGTTACCTTCTCATGAGGACTTCCATGTCAGACACCTCTATTGTCTTCCTCCCGGCATGGCTGGCGAAAGCTACCAGATCATTGCAGAGCTGCTTGAAGTATTTCTCAGTACTGAAGGAGGATTGAGGAGGGAAATGAAGTCAGGCTCTGGAGTGTGTGAGCACCAGCTACTGTAGGGCAAGCTGCACCAGAGCTGCTCACTGTGCAGGTCACAGCCTGCCATGGAAAACTGTGGGAGAAGAAACTCTCCAGGCCACAAAGAAAGTCTGGCTTCTCAGCCTCAGTGCCCTGGAACTTTACAGCCAAGACAGCTGCGAATGAGCTGCATGACTGCAGCCAGAACCCTTCCCAAACTGCCCACATGTGCAAGAACAGATGCTAACCCCAAGGGAAAACCAGCACTGAGGATCAGACTGTTGGCTCTTGAGGTGATGCTGTTCAAACAACCCACAGGTCTTACTCATGAAGGTAAAATGGTCCATGAATTGAAGAAGCTGAGAAACGGAGATACCAAAGTAACAGCACACAAGTGGGACACCTTCACCTTGCCCAGCACAAGGACAGTTCTCCAGAGCCGCCCCAAGACCAACATCACCTGCCACATTTCTGCCCTCCTTTTGATCAGAGCTCCTGTGTCTGTCCCCATCTGAAGAGGGAGGGCTCTCTGCTTGCCAGCAGCCCTCCTGATGGGTTTGTTATTTCAGGAGAGAACAAGAAGGAAAAAAGAAAAAAAAAAAAACATAAGGACTAAAACAAGTGAGAATGCAAGCAGTTTGTTGCCACTTACCATTTTTCAACAATTTTGAACGATTCTCTGGCCACTGGCGTTTTCGCACAGTGCTTAAACACGCTCTTTATCAAACTGCTTGGTATTTTAGGCTCAGATGGTTTTCTCTGTGAGTGCTTTGGAAATGGCTTTGCCCGCTGTGGCTGCAGAGGAGGCCTTTGAGGCAAACTGAAAATGCACACATCAAATGAACAAACACAGGGTAGAGGCAGAGAACACAGTGCTGAGTTTGGGCAAACCTTATGCCGAATTGGAAGGGCTAAGAACTACCTTAAGCTCTTAATTCTTTCTCCCTCACAATTCTTTAAATCCCTCATGCCCATGAAGTTCACTTTGTGAACAGTTCACATAGCATCATGACTTTGGGAGAAGCAATCCAGCTTGAATTTCCCAAGATAAGCATGTCAGCATGAAAGATAGTTGGCAAACCAGAGTTCTCTTCAGTACACCAACGCAGTTTTCACCACATCCCTGAGTATTCACCCTGCAGGAGTGCACAAAGTCTGAGGCATCCACAAGTCACCTCTATTCCACTCTCCTAAGTTACAACACAGTTCTACTTCAGAAGAGTATCAAGGACTCCTTTTTCTATTTTTTAATTAGATTTTACTATTCATGATTAGAGCAATCATCCAGCAACTCTGGAAGCATCATTTATTTCTGTTCACAGCAGGAAAGGTCAGAAGAACTTGGTTTTACTGTTTACTGCTTCAATAAACAAAACCCTCAAGTCATGGGCTAGAAAAGTTCCCCAGGCCCTGCTGTTAGCAGTTCTGATGACATTTGCTTGATAGATCTTCATTCAATTGCTAAAACAGTGGCTGAACTAGAGACTTTGGGACTCTTTACTCCCTGCTACAGCTGATAAAGCACAGAACAACCAACCCAACAGGGCTAAACTCCCTCCCCCTGCCACTCACACCTTCCAGAGACACTTTTACCAGGCCACCGCTGAAGGTTGCTCATACTTACTCGGGAGCAGCAGGTTTTGCAGGTGATAGAGTTAACAGTGGTGGCTTGTAGGCTGCAGCATTGACAAATGTGGGTGCCTTCATGAAATCCTCTGTGGACAAAAAGAACTTAAGGAACTGGACTCTACTTTCAGAGCTTCTCAGCAGGCAGTGTTGTAGCAGCAGACAGAAGCCCAGCCAGCTTTCCACACATCAGCTCTGGTGCTACACTGCCTGTGCCCACGCTTTGGCTCCACTGCACCCTGAACCAGGATGGCTGCTTCCTGCTGCAATGCCACCCACCCCACCTGCTGCCAGACAGACTTCCCTTGTGTGCTGGATATGCACAGGGCCAGGCTGCAGGGGCTGTTGGCTGTGTGGACTGAGGCTGCTGAAGCTGCTACCTCTCTTCCCATAGAGAGCTTCAAAGTCCACAAGCCACCTCCTTGCCATCCTGCTAAATCAGTGGCAAATTCTTCTGAACACAGAGATGAGCAGAGCAACAAAAATCACATTACTGGAGCCAGTCTATGAGTATCACAGAATCCTAGGCTTGTTTGGGTTGGAAGGGACTGTAAAGCTCATCCAGTTCTAACCCCCATGCCACAGGCAGGGACACCTTGCACTACACCAGGTTGCTCCAAGGCTCTGTCCAACCCGGCCTTGAACACTACCAGGGATGGGGCATTCACAACTTCCTTTGGGCAGCCTGTTCTAGTCCCTCACCACTCTCACAGTAGAGAATTTCTTCCTTATATCCAACCTAAATCTCTCCCATATTCACAGACTTTTATAAATTCCCTCCAGCTAAGGCTCGGGTTACAGTCAATACTTCACCTCTTCTTTGTTACTACCCCCATCAGTTTCCTCTAAGTCTAATCTGCATCCTCTAACTTCGCTCTTGAACTTCTTCACAAGTGAGAGGAGGAAAGAAAATAAGATTAACGGAACTAAAACACTAAGCAGCTTCCAGTCTACAACAGGAGTTGCCATGGAGGGCTTCTTGCTTCCAGTTTCCCTCCCAAGCTGAATTCAGCTCAAGAATCTAGTGTATCTGGTAATGGTGCCAACTTCACAACCCTCTCTTGAGACCTAGGACACCTACCCTGTTATAGAAGACAAGTTCAGCTACTAGAGGCCTCAGGTACTACTGATGGTTAAATCACACAACTCAAAGGGTCAGAAGTCTCCAAGAGAAAGCAGGACTGGGTGAACTACCCTGCTTCCCTGCATTAGCTTCTTCTGAAGAAATACCATGCACTGGAGGGATAGGGAGCAGGATACAGAGGAAGAGATTAGATACAATGAGGTTTCCACGGTAAGTTTGATGACACAAGTACATAATACTTCATCTTTTCTTCCTTTCCTTGTCCAGTGAGACCTGTAAGATCATCGAATCATAGAATGGTTTGGGTTGGAAAGGACCTTAAGATCATCTAGTTCCAACCCCCTGCCATGGGCAGAAATGCCTCACACTGGACCATGTCACTCAAGGCCCTGTCCAACCTGGCCTTGAGGACTGCCAGGGATGGAGCGTTCACTACTTCTCTGGGCAACCCATTCCAGTGTCCTACCACCCTCACAGTAAAGAACTTCTTCCTTGTATCTAACCTGAACTTCCCCTGTTTAAGTTTAAACCCATCACCCCTTGTCCTACTGCTACAGTCCCTGATGAAGAGTCCCTCTACAACATCCTTGTAGGCCCCCTTCAGATGCTAGAAGGCTGCTTTGAGGTGTCCACACAGCCTTCTCTTCTCCAGGCTGAACAGGCCCAGCTTTCTCAGCCTGTCTTCACACAGGAGGTGCTCCAGCCCCTGATCATCCTTGTGGCCTTCTCTGGGCTTGCTCCAACAGCTCCATATCCTTCTCATGTTTAGGACACCAGAACTGCACACAGTACTCTAAGCGGGGTCTTGTGAGAGCAGAGTAAGGGGGCAGCATCACCTCCCTCAACCTGCTGGTCATGCTGCTGGGGATACAGCCCAGTATATGAGTGGTTTCTGAGCTCAAGCCCACACTGAAGCTGGCTCATGTTCAGTTTCTCGTTGACCAACACCCCCAAGTCCTTCTCCTCAGGCTGCTCTGAATCACTTACTTCTCTGCCCAACCTGTAGCTGTGCCTGGGATTGCCCTTGTACTTTGCTTGGTTGAACTTCATAAGGTTGGCACTGGCCACCTCTCCAGCATGTCCAGGTCCCTCTGGATGCCATCCCTTCCCTCCAGTGTGTCGACTGCACCATACAATTTAGTGTCATCAGCAAACTTGCTGAGGGTGTTCAATCCTACTGTCCATGTCGCTGACAAAGATGTTACACAGGAAGAGATGCTACTTTTTTTGTTCCAGCCTACCAGCAGCGGTCTCTTCATTGAGACCTTTCCATCTCTTCATATAGCTGTGTTAAAGACAACCATACTGACACACTGTTGTAGACACCCTAAAAACCCTTACAGCTTTCCTTGTGGCAGAAGTGTACCAGCAAAACCGTCATCTTTGTGCCTTCCACACTGCACAAACACATACAAGCCTGATCTCATTACAGCTGAATTTCCCCACAATGCCTCAAATCATGGTAATGGGATTCTTTTAGGATGTCTTTAGTTCAGTTTTTTATGCCAGGGTGTATACTGCACATCGAAAGACTTTAAGACCACTGCCAAAACAAGCACAAAACACACTCTGGCCAGTCTTAAAACGTGGCCTTGATCAAAGAGAACTAAGTCTGATGTATGAGTTCTTCCAAAGGGCATAAGCACTCTTGGGACAACAGAGCAGACTGATGCAGCGTCTGAAGGACTGTTTAGGAATAGATTTTTCTTTCAGCTTTCTGGAAAACCAGCCTACTCTCCTGGTTAACTAGAAAGGAAATCTGTAACTACAAACAAAGGAAATCTGTAACTACATACAAAATATGGGGTTCTACATTAGGTTTCAAGTCTGGACTCACGAACAGCTATGGAAACAGCAGTTCCATGCTAAGACATTAAGAAATCAGTACAAAGTTAGGAGTCAGGAAAGAAGAAATAAAAGAGAGGATATCCCTATGTCATTTCTATAAAACCACTTCACAGTCGGTTTTGTCTATTTGTGCACTTCCATTACTTTCACCTCAAGAAGTCAAGATGATCTAGGTCCCTGAAGCACATGATGAACAGGTAACAATCTGGCCGTAGGACCAGAAGCCAACAGCTTCCCCTGGACTATCTGATGAACTAAAGAGTTAATAATGTTATTAACCTATGTTGTTCCTTTATCTAGCAAGAAATAACAGAAAAATATCTCCAACTGTCTCTGCTAATGCTGAAGGTACCACTTACCTTCATTCTCAGTGTCTTCAGCTTCATCCTCAGTAGGCTCTTCTTCCAGACTATCCAGTTCTACAAAAATAGGCTGGTCCTCTAATTCATCTGCTTGTTCAACAGCTTCCTTAAACGGCTCCATCCCGGAGTTTTCAGAGAAGGTAGGGTTAGAATGTTTACTCAGACTTTCACCTCCAATACTTCGGGCAATCTCACATCCTACATTTCCAAACAGGAAAGTACATCACTGAAACAAGTATCTCAGCCAAAATTTCAGAGCACTCATAAGAACAAAACTCAACTTTCCATTCCTGACAATACTGTCACCGATTATATTCCTGTCTTCAAGGATTAAGTGTCAGTACACTAAACTAGACAAGCTAAAGCACTGGAAACCCTCAGCTTTTCCCTCTGCTACATCTAGGTGTCAAACAAACAAACAAACAAAAAAAAATAGCAGTTGGTAATGTGGAGAAGCCCATGAGATTTAAGTGCAATTTATATCTGAGCTCCTTTGGAAATGAACTCCCTTTAATACGTACTTTTATCTCAAAGGAAGTCTTACCAAAGCCTTAATGCAGCATGTTGAACACAGAAGACCCAACAATTCAGGAAAAGTAAATTGGGAGATCCTGATTTGCCAACACACTCAGAAGGTCTCCAAATTTTATCAATCTCTGCCTGATTCTAGAACTTCCACTGGTAAATTTTGACTGATGATGCTTTCTGCAATTACACATTTCTAAACACTATTACCAATGCAATTTTGGTTTCTATTTGAGCAGAATGCAATCTTTCAGCTTAAAATGCCCAGATTAGTTTTATATTTTCCCAGTATTTAGCCCGGATTCCAGAATGCAAAGAGTTAACAAGCATCTCTCCCAGCAATAATGCTAATAATGCATTTTAAGACGTCTCTGGCATTAGAGATTCAGTATTAGAGGTTGTCCTCACTAGCTTTGGGAGAGCCTTGGTATTCAACGCCACCTTCTGCTATTCCCTCTTCTTCCAAATGGGCTGCTTCTGCAAAAGGAACAATGGAAAAGACTCAAAAAGGATCCTAAACTGGATCTTCATTACTTAATAGAGGGCAACCTTCAAGCTCTTGTCTTAAGAGAAAAAGATGTTGGTTAGTACTGGAGAAAGATAACAGCCAAGATGGCTTAAATAATTATGGTGAAGCATTAGAATGTACACAAACCAAAAGAGTGATTAGCCAGACGCATTACTTGACAGGAGGGAACTATTGATCTTTCCTGTGGGAGGATGAGCAGCACTATGGATCTATCAAAATATATGAACCTATATTCCATTTGCAGTCACTGTGAACAGAGCAAATACTGACAAGAAAACACATGAGCAAGTCACAGCCTCCTTTGAGAAAGCTTGTCTGGAAATGGTCACAGCATCAGTCTTTCTCTGATGAGACTTCAATTACATTATCTCCAGCATCTACTGCTCAATTAAGCCTGATTTCACTCTGCAAGTCACCTGAAAAACTTATTTTTAATCAGATTAAAGCACTGCATTCCCTTCCAACACTGAAAGCACTTCTTACCCTCTCTGAAATTCTCTTCCTATTCCACTCTGTTCACTGTCATAGCCATCTCTTCTTCTGTATCACTTACATACAGGACTTCAATTATATGGGACACAACGTCTCTGAAAGACTTGCTGAAAGATCTCTCAGGCTTTGAGTGACTGGGGACCACAAACATTTACTTGAACTTCAGGACGGCAAAGAGGAGGTCCGTCTATTAACAGCTAGAAATTGAGAGCATTAATGTGCCCCTAGTATCTTTTTAAACTTTCTTTTTGCTTTTCTGGTACCAATCAAGCAGACAGAGAAATACACATAAGAAAACACTCCTCCTTTACATGAAACAGCTGAGGGAATTCACACTGAATCTTAGGAAACAGTTGGAAAAGTCCTTGCAACTATTTTTCCAGTTCAAACTGTGGAGCAACACTGGCATCAGCTACCTTTGGTAAAATAGCAGAACTAGGTAACCATTCACTTTTGACCTTAATGCCTTACAACATCCAGCATCTTTCAGATACCCTCTTACCCTCCTCCTCTTCCTCTCATTTGATCCAGTCCCCTATTCCATGTCCTCCACGCCTACCTCCACATTATCTATGCATTTGTCCTAACAGTGCCTGCCACTGGACTTTTCAAAACAATCAGTTTTTTTCTATTGATCTCTTTTGTCCTTTCAACACAACTTTTCCCTCCAGCATGCCAGAGACAATCTTCCAGAAGCAGAGTATGGGGCAACAGTCCACCAGAAATTAATTTCTAAGGTTTCCAGGGCAAGCACTCTTCTCCTGGCTTGAACAGTACTGAATTCACCAACCATTTTTTAAATACCATGGCCCTTTTGATAAAGGATCATAAAAAACCCTAAATGAAATATCAGCTGTCCATGCTTCATGGAAAGCATAAGGAGCTTTGACTGACAGTGTAAAGCAGACGAGCCAGGCTCTTTTTCGTGGTGCTCAGTGCCAGAAGAAGAATGGGCACAGACTTGAACACAAGAGGCTCTATCTGAACACCAGGAAACACTTTTTCCCTGTGAGGGTGACTGAGTCCTGGGAGACCTGCTCTGGGTGGCCCTGCTGGAGCAGAGGGGTTGGAGAAGATGACCTCAAGATGTCCTTTCCTATCTCAACCATCCTGTGATTTCAGATATTACCTGCTAAGCCCCAAGTCCTAACCCATAGTACTCACTGCTAACCACCACTTCTTCTGAAACAGAGAGCTGCTCCACTGGGTTAGTCCACTGGGAATGATCTTGCTTATCTTCTGGTGGGTTTGCAGGCAGTTTTGGAGATACAGAAGGCATACTGTCACCATCCTCACGATCAAGGATTAAGTCCTGAGAATATCCTTGGGTCCTTCTCTTGCCTGTATCCACACTTGTCAGCATGGTTGTTTGAATCCCAGATGACATTTCTGAGTCCACAAGATACCTCTGTGCTATTTAGAAAGTTTTAAAACAAGTTTTATGTAAAAAAGTGTTTAAGGTCACAGGGAGACACATTTATTACCAGGACTTTATATATATAATATATATAATATGTATATATATTATATATATAATGACTACATAATGAAGTCATTATATAATGACTTCAATAATATAAAATTGAAGTCATTCAACCAAATTTTATTCATCCTCCACAGATCAAACATTGAAACAATATCACCACACTTCAGTGTCCCGAACTTTCTCCACTAAAGCATCTCCCCAGTACCCACAGTTACAAACATGATACCAAATGATTCCTGGTATAAATCGTCAAACTGGGTAAAGCACATACTTAAGCACATAGAGTCAAAGCAACTACAGATACAGATAGAGCCTCATTCTAATCTTGCTTCCCAAACTATACTGGATTTCTGTGAGCGTGCTAGTACCCTTTAAATCATAAAATACAGACCCACATTTCAGAAACTGCTTCTACAAGCCACCTTATAGAAGGCCCTCCCTCCCAAAACAGAAGGAAGAACGTGAAAGAAACCTTTTCTCCTCAGCATGTCCTGTTCCACTCTGTCTTCAAAAGCTTTTATGTCAACAGGTTTGTGATTCTTTGGCCTCCGGAGCAGGCCTCTCCTTTCAACAGTGTCTGGCTGCACCAAGGATCCAAGAGACATGCTAAGAGATCTGTCAAAAGAAAAGGAAAAAATAATTTTCAAAATTACATACTCCCTTTTACTCTGAGATACGTACATGGCACTACTAACAGTGAGACTTTTCACAAATCCCTTAGCTAGGAGAAATTTCCCCCCAAAACCTTGAAGATTACACACCAGCTAACTTCAAACAAACGGTTTAATTCCATGGTATCAAGTAACATCAGGATGTGTATCAGAGAGACCAGAAAACAGACTGTTTTACAGCCTCCTGCCTCAAGAGGGCTGCAACAACACATCTGACAAAAAGTTGAGGAATTTTAGAAGTTTTAAATAACAAAAAGGAAAAAAAGGGGAAAATAAACGTTTGAGAATAAAGCTGTCCTCTAGATGACAGCGAGCTGGTAGGAGGACTTCAGACCAAGTCTAGGAAGTTGCTTAGTATCAGTATTCACACCTAAGTACAGCTACCGACACACTGTAACTTTTTAAGACAGGAGCTAAGACAGCAACCTGCAAAGCATGGCAAGAGAAGTACCTCACTGTAAATGTTTTGCATCCTGAAGAAACTGGTCATGCTCAGCTGCCTTCCTTTCCTCTTTCTAGGCAGCCCAATGAAAAAGGGTTTCAGAGGATTCACAGACACATGTTGAAAGACAGGAAAGGCGGTGGTGCACTGCCATGACACAACTGACATGGAATAAGGGGTAGATACTGGCCTGGTTTCAGCTTGGATAGAGTTAAGTTTCTTCCAAGTAGCTGGTGCAGTGCTGCATTTCAGCTTTAGTACGAGAACAACGCTGACCACACCGAGGGTTTAGTTGTTGCTCAGTAGCATTTACCCCAATCAAGGACTTTTCAGTCTCTCATGCTCTGCCAGTGAGGAGGGGCACAGGAAACCAGAAGGGACACCTGACCCAAACTACCCAAAGGGGTATTCCATACCACAGAGCATCATACTCGGGAGAGAAACTGGGGCGAGTTGGCCGGGAGGCACTGTTTGCTGCTGGGGATTGGACAGCGGGTGGTGAGCAACTGTGCTGTGCATCACTTGAGGTTTGGGGGAGGGAGGGTTCATACCTTCCTCTCTCTTTCCCATTATTATTATTGTATTATTATATTTTACTTTTATTTCAATTATTCAACTGTTCTTATCTCAACCCATGGGTTTTTAGAATGCAGCCCTGTGCAATCACCTTGTGTAGGGCCACAGGCAAGGGCTGCAGTGAGAAAGGTGAATTAATTTGTTAATCATGGCTAGGATCATTAGCAAAGTACATGGGCAACACAGCAAAAGTAGCTCTGACTTGCTAAGAAGCTTTTAAAGCCCAGGGAAGTTGGACTAAAGATTGCATAGATGCAACTTACGTGATGAGACAATTAACAGGCAGAGATAATTAAATATTCTAAGGTATACTATGTACAGATTTATTTTTGGAAACATAAGAAGGAAAGGAAAGAAGTAGTGATCCTACTAAGTAAAAAGAGGAGCAATAGCAGCAGTAAGAGCTAGCCCAACCTGAGCATACTGGGCAGAACCAGTTTCTGAAAATCACAAGGTGTGCAGTGTGACACATTCACATGCCATCACTGTGGGGGGGAGGGGGATATGATTATGTTATTACTGACACAGGTCTTCATCATGTCTATACTGCTCTTCCCAACTACAGAGATGACAAATCAAGGCAGCTATAGTTAGGACAGCTAGGAGTAAAGACATTTTAGCTTAAACTCACCCAGCCATAGTGCTGTCCAGCGTTGATGGAGCTAGAAAACATTGGTGATGTGTTAGTTGAGAAAGCACAGCAGGTGAGAAGTTACCCTCTACACCACAGGCTACAGGAGCAACCCAATGGTCCTCTTTCTGTGTGCTACAATTCTCAGAAGTTTCATTTTAGAGAGAACAGAATTGAATGACGAGTTCACTTTACAAATTCCTGTCTGCATTTCAGAAGTGTGTATGAGAATTCTAATAAGCAGCTTCTGAAAGGGTCATAAAACAGTTATTTCAAAGAAAATGGAATATGGCACATGCCCTCACCCTCAGTATTATGAATCTTACTACATTAATAGCAAGATGCCAGGCTATGGCCTCAGTCACAGCCACCCTGCAGCAACAAAAAGCAAACATTAAAGCACCTGGAAGCATGAAAAGTAGATTGTGGGTGAAACTGCAACACAAACTTGTTCAACTCATGAATTCCCAAAAATCTGCAAAAAGCAGATCTGGAGAACAGTGACAAAATCACACTCATACTAGAAAACACTGCAGCATGCAGTGGTCTGCTTTTACAGAGCTGCCCACATTTCACCAGAACATGTTCAGACTGGGTACCAGGCTAAAGACAGACAAGTTGATTTTTTGACTACAGGTGAGTCAATGTGGGATTCAGCTCCAGATTAAAATATTCAAACACAGGTGTCTATGTTCCCATTACAGCCAAGCACCATTAATCAAATGTAGGTGTCTACTTTAAGGTAAGCTGAATCACCCTCCATACTGAACGTATCAGACCTTCTCTAAACTTCAGGAGGACTGCAGTTACCTCATGTACACACAGGTACAGAGCATCTGTAATTTGGCCCTGAGGTCTCTAATTTAGAGTTGAATCCCACCCCTGAATTCTACTCCAGTTGCTACTGCCATTAGGACATGTAAACTAAGGGGGGCGTGTTTTAACTGCCTCTGTTAAACTGCAACTAACATTAAAAATAGTATTTACCAAATTTTGCATATTTATATTCACATGGAAGACTCAGTCCAATATAAAACATTATTTCTTTTATGAGACTATAAGACATTTTTTTCCCCAAACAAGAACTTTATAATTTATTTGATGTAACTGTAGTGAAGTCTGCAGCTTGCTGTGTTTTCAAGTTTATGGAATTGAGGGGAAGACAGGGATTGCTTTCTCTGGAGATACTTCAAAACTCAAAGGCCACCCAGCTGAAAAAAGAGTCAAGAAGTTACAGTCAAGGCAGAGCTTGTAACTTTGCTCAAGTAGGCTTATTTTCAATTTGATGGGTGGGGTTCTCCCTTCACTGCTATGCCATTTGCACAAGATGCTGCAATCTTGCTTCCAAACACACAACTGCTCAGCTGAGAAGCTACTTAAGAACTAAACTGTAGCAGATGAAAATCCACTGACAGCTAATGCAGTGCTGCTGAGCAAGGTAATTTTTCGTTGTGGCCTTACCTTGGTTCTGGAGAAGTTGTTTGTTTACTGCTCTCTCAAATTCAGAAATGCTGAGTTTATTTCTCTCCTTACTCATACGGAATGCGAAGACAGCTCTCTCCTCAGGAACAAACTCTGGCAGCTGCATTTCCTCCCTGCCAACACAAACCAAGCCTTTAACAGACGATGACATCATCACTTAGCTACCCTAGAAAGGCCCCTGTAATGCCACTGAAAAGCAAATTAAAATGATTTGACCTTGCTGCAGCAGAATGAAGGAATTAAGCGATGATCAGCTCAGCAAATGCAGGAACATGTCATTCCCTCCTACTAAGTCAAAATAAATTTCACAAAGAGAATCAAAACTTGAGTGTCTATTCAAAACAGCAAGGTTCAGAAAAGTCAGACTAGAGTAAAAGCTTGGACTTTCAACAAGCTCCATAGCATTCTCCTCCTAACAGCCACAGGAGCAAATAGGCTTGGCAATCATTACAGTGTTAAGTCACAGAATCCCAGACTGGTTTGGGTTGGAAGAGACCTTAAAGCTCACCCATCGCCACCCCCTGGTCAGGGGCAGGGCCACCTTCCACTAGACCAGGTTGCTCCAAGCCCTGTCCAACCTGGCCTGGAACACTGCCAGGGATGGGGCAGCCACAGCTTCTCTGGGCAACCTGTGCCAGCACCTCACCGCCTTCAAAGGGAAGGGCTTCTTCCCAAGATCTCATCTCAGTCTCCCCTGTTTAAGTTTCAACCCATCACCCCTTGTTCTATCACTACAGTCACTGATGAAGAGTCCCTCTCCTGCATCCATAGAGGGATGAAATGAAAAAGCCATCATCATGAAACAGCAGTAGGTACAACAAAGCACGCTGGTACATGGAATGGACATGTCATATCCCAGCCAGGCACTGGGTCAGCATCAGGAAGTAAGTTTCTGTGTCATATTCCCCCTTCAGAGATTAGTTCCAAGAGTCCCCTCTCATGAAGGTCATATTCAGGCAGTGAGCTGCTGCCAGCACAGCACCTCGTGTCCTGAAGAACAAGAGCAGAGCATCCCTCCTGCAGCCAAGAGCCCACTCTCACCCGCACTCAGTACTGGGTGTTCTGTACCCTCTGCTGCAACACACGCGGCTTCAACACAGCAAGAATGGTAAGACCACCACCTTCACAAGTCTGTTCCCCTTACAAATCACATTCTCTACCACTCAGAAGCATAGCTAAGTTTCATTTCTTACAATGTAAGCCTAAAGTGTTAGAATTAACTGGCTTGTAACGGGGAACAGATGTGAAGCACTGGGGGAAAGATTGCTCTTTTTTTTTTTTTTTTTCATATTTCTCCTGGAATGCACTATTACAGCCAAGGAAAGCAGTGCCTGTCGAAATGCAAGAAAGCGCACATCAACTAAGGGAAGGTTGTGAGGAAGGATTTAAAACAAAAAGGCTACATCTATTTACATTCAAAAAGTAGCTAATGTACCGAATATACAACCCTGCAAGGATCCAGCTGGCTTGTCTTTCCAATTGAGAAAAGCTGAGGAGAAGCACATTCAAAGAGGTTCAAAAACTACAACAAACAAAATCAAGAAGGAACTAAAATAATATTGCTCATTGCTTTTGGAATGTAAGAAAAAAAAAAACCAAAATACAAATAAACAAGCTGCCACACAGAAAACTCAAGTGTTTCTTCCTCTATTAAAAAATCAGATAGAAGTTCACATGGTATTTTGCACGACCTTATTTAAGGCTGCTTGTGGTCAATTTAAAGAGTTTAGCTATAACGACAAAAGGAAATCACTTTATTTAGAACAGTGTGTTTTGCCGTAAGCAAAAATGGGAATCAGTGTTGTGACAAAACTGATTAAAGCAAATTAAGACTTATCACCACTACTGGCTTTCTTCTATTTCATAATGAAGTGGAAGTCAACAAACCATACTTCAGCCTCTCCAATTCAGCCAGGCCTATTAACTTAAAATATTAATGGAAGCTAATGACTAAAAGCACCTGAGCTTCAGGCAAACCTCAACTCCGAACTACCCTACAGGAAGGAAGATACCCTGAGCAGCCCAAAACAAGGACAACCAAGAAGCAGCAACACTGTATAAAGCTACAGCAGCCTGTGCTCTGAATACAAGACGTGGCAGTCACTCGTTGTGCCCCAGCACCACCAGCACACAGCCGGGAGCCTCAAGGAGATCTTCTACTGACTTCTACTTAAGTATGTCACAACCAACTGAGGAAAATACGTTCCCGCCAGGAGATTTCTGACCTTCAGACTTGACAGGCTGAGAGAGCTGGGCTTGCTCAGCATGGAGAAGAGATGGCTCTGGGGGGACAGTAGAGCAGCTTCCAGTGCCTAAAGGGGCTAAAAGAGACCTGGAGAGGAGCTTTAGAAAAGCGCCTGTAGGGACAGGACAAAGGGGAATGGCTTTAACTTGACAGAGGGGAGACTGAGATGAGATTTTGTGAAGAAGTTCTTCCCTGTGCCCAGAGAAGCTGTGGCTGCCCTGTCCCTGGCAGTGTTCAAGACCAGTTTGGACAGGGCTTGGAGCAACCTGGTCTGAACTGGGTGAGCTTTAATGTCCCTTCCAACCCAAACCAGTTTGGGATTCTATGATTCTCCTGACCAGCACTTCCACTGCAAAAAGATACTAGAAATCTGTATCTAAAAAGGGGGACTAAGCACAAGCCCACAGTATTTGCTACTCAGACTCTCAGTTCCAGTGATTCCTATGTGACTTTCAAAGCTGGAGAGGTATTTATGAAAATTCCACTGGAGGGAACGCAATTCTGATCATTGAAACAGAAGCAGAGAAATACTGCTCCCCAATCCCATCATAGGAACTGCAGCTATAGTGTAAAAAACTCAAAGTAAAATTGTTAACAATTACTTACATGCTGGAAGGCCTCCCAGTTGAGAGTTCTGCTTGAGCTTCTTCTGCTGCCGCTTCTGGTTCTTCATGTTTTGATATCTCAGGTACCACAGGTGAAGCTGGTGGAACTGCCAACAAACCAAAACATTTTTTTTCCCCCACAATTCAATCCAGCAAGAATGCCAAAATGCAGCAGAGTGACAAACCTATACTATATTCTGTAAGTTACATGTGTTAATTGGTTAAAATAAAGAACTAGTGAAAACTACTTGGGTTCTACTCAGAAGGATGGCTTCTACAGTGACAAAACCAGTAGAGTCCTACATGCTGGAGATTGTGATAGGGTGTGTCTCTGTGATTTACTCATGGTCCTATAGGTAAAGACAGCACAAAGATTACGTGCTTGGTCTCAGGACAATTACAGTAAGTGAAGAGGATTTTCAAGAATATGACTTCACCAGTGCAACACCTGGTCTTTGTGACAGAGCTGCATTGCCTGACCTCACTGAGCTGCCACTGAAGTGACTCCTCCCCACCCCCCCCCCGGGGGATGGGGAGGAAAACCTGAAGAATGTAAAGCCCACGGGTTGACGTAAGAACAGTTTAATAACTGAAGTATAATATTAAACTACTAATAATAGTAAGGGAAGTAACAAGGGGAAAGAATCTACAACTAAAAGAGAAAGGGTAAAAAAAAACAATAAATGCAAGTGATGTCCCACCCCCCCCCCGGGGGATGGGGAGGAAAACCTGAAGAATGTAAAGCCCACGGGTTGACGTAAGAACAGTTTAATAACTGAAGTATAATATTAAACTACTAATAATAGTAAGGGAAGTAACAAGGGGAAAGAATCTACAACTAAAAGAGAAAGGGTAAAAAAAAACAATAAATGCAAGTGATGTCCAATACAATTGCTCACCAGCTGCCAACTGATACCCAGCCCAACCTGAGCAGCAATCTGGGCCTTCTGGGTGACTCCCCCAGTTTCTATACTGGGCATGATGTGCTGTAGTATGGAATACCCTTTCGGCCAGTTTGGGGCAGGTGTCCTGTCTTTGTTCTCTCCCGGCTTCCTGTGCCCCTCCTCACCGGCAGAGCATGAGACTGAAAAGTCCTTCACTGGGGTAAGTGCTGCTGAGCAACAACTAAACCATTGGTGTGTTACCAACATTGTTCTCTGACTAAAGCCCAAACACAGCACTGCACCAGCTACTGGGGAGGAGAAAGGTAACTGTTACAGCTGAACCCAGGATGCACACACATCAGCCATACAATGGTCGGGATTTCTGTTCTATGTAACAGGGTAAGAACAGGCTACAGACGAACATCTGTTCTTAACTCCACCCAAATATTCTCCTTATCCTCTCTGCTTTCCTGAAAATAAAGGATACTTACAGATATGGATGATTTTCTTGATCAAAGTCCGTGGTGTGTCCTCAATAAGATCAGGGAACATCAGCGGCCTCGGCCTCACTGAAGTAGTTCTGCCCAAATTCTTCTTTCCTGGATCAGATTTGGTCTAAGGAGAGACATCAGACAACCACAACTCAGAAGTCCTATTTTCATGACTAAAGATGAGCCTTAGCATCAAGAGCTTCATCATCCTTCCTCGATCAACAATCTAAGCTAGGTAACACAAGACATCTTCCAATTTCCTAAACAAGCTAGGACAATGGAACACATTTGCTTTTTTAACAGTACTGGCACTTGGTTTTGGACAGGAGAGAATTCACAGTGATGCACCACCCTCATGGTGGACCAAGTCCTTGAGAGATTTGAGGGCACGGCCCACGGCCCCTCACTAGAACGCCCCAAAAAAAGGGAACAAAACACAACCATAACGGAGGTGTGAGGCTCTCAGGGCTCTGTCTACTCGGCAAGCGCGGAATTCATGGTCTTCGGCCCGTTTTACACGTTTAAACGGACAAGGAGCACACTGTGTTCCCCGGACCGGCCCCGAGGACCTCGCTCCTCGCTCAGACCGAACGCGAAGG